CGCTTTGCATCTATGTGTTTGCCTTCTCGGCCTACCTCATCAACCAGCTCATGTTCAACGCACACGACCCCGCAGCCGGCACGCGCACGGTGTGGCAGGCCATGGGGCAGGCGCCCGTGGCCGTGGTGCTCATGGGGTTCACCTTCCTCGCCGTCTGGTTCGTGGGGGGCCTGTCCGGCTTTCACATCTACCTCATGTGCCGCAACCAGGTGGGTTAGCTGGGCACATATACCAGCTCCTTACTTGCCCCCACCCCACCAGTGCCACTTGCATTTCCCTCCCTGCACACACTCCATCTCAATCCCATGCCCTTCCCTTCCTCCTTTCTGTGCTTCTCTTGCCTATCCATCCCGTCCCCCTCTCGCCCATCCCCGCCCCTCCCATCCCCTCCCCTCCCCTCCTCCCCTCTCCTCCCCCCTTCCCCTGGGATAACGCCCTGGGAACTTCCGGTGACGCTACGACAAGAAGCCCAAACCCCGCTCCCTCTTGCCCTTCCCCTCCCTTCCCTGTGCCCCCGCCCCCCCTTCCCCTGGGACATCAACACCAGACGACGTACGAGAACTTCCGGTGGCGCTACGACAAGAAGCCCAACCCGTACAGCCGCGGCTGCTTCAACAACGTAGGTGAAGCCCTCTGCTCCGAAATCCCCCCTTCCCGAACCAACTTCCGTGCCAAGGCTGCCGAAGCTGAGTTCGCCATCTCCGAGCCGCGCCTCACGGAGCCCGACCCTCCGCCTGGCTCGTTATCAGCCTCGGTGGACCCCAAGCGCACCCGAAGCTTGCTGCCAGGCTCGGGAGGATCGAAAGGTTCCCGAGGGTCGAAGGGGTCGTCGTTTGGGGGGTGCTCGCCAGGTCAGCAGCAGCAGGTGTATGACGTTTCTGAGGAGATGTCCCTGCGGGGAGGGCGGGCAGGAGGGGTGGATGAGGAGGAGGAGGATGAGGAGGAGGATGAGGAGTTTGAGTCGATGGAAGAAGGGAGGTTGATGGGGAAAGGAGGGGGGGAGTATGAGAAAGGGAAGGGACGAGGGGAAGAGACAGATGAGGATGAGGAGGATGAGGGAGAGGAGGATGATGATGAGTATGACGACGAGGATGATGAGGATGGAAATGATGATAGTGGTGATAATGATGGTGGTGGTGGTGATGGTGTTGATGATGATGATTATGATGACGATGATGATGACGAGGACGTTCAGACAGCTCTACCGCTTCCACCTGGCAGGCAGCCATTGGTTGCACAAGGTGCAAGTGGGAGAGGGGGTGCAGGGGGCGCAAGTGGGGGAGGGGGAAGCGGAAAGGGATCAAGAAGTGGAGGTGGGTCGGGAAAGGGGTGGCAGAAGAGGGACGCGTGGCAAAGCGACGATGAGATGTGATGCGGGCGAGAGTGCGCTGTGTGGGGAGTGTGTGGAGTTTTGGTGAAGAGTGTGGAGCGAGGGAGTGCAGGGTCGGAAGACGTGTGCTCGAGTGGAGCAATCAGGAGTGCGCTGGGCTCCAAGGGAAAGTCTGACCATAAGGCAGCAAGAACCAGAAGCTTGCCCAGTGAGATGGATGCAGAGGCAGTGTTGGTCAAGGAAGGTGCCACTTTCTTTCCGATCCGTGGCTCCAGTTACGGTGCTAAGTTATGAACCCCAGCTAACCCAAGCTAACCTCAGCTAACCGGTGATCGCAGCTAGCTGGCAGGTGCATCGCTGCCTGGCTTAGCACAGCACGGCAGTGAGAACGAAGCAGCCCTGTTCTTTTGGTGGTGTTTGTTGTAAATGTGCACGTGTTTTGCAAGTCTTGTTGATATTGAGCTTAGTGTTTCAGGCCCTCAAGTCTTGTCAGTTTCAGGAAAAAATGACAATACAAGAGGGCTGGATAAGCTACATTGCATAGCAGGATACTAGCAGTGCATCAGCGACCAGTGGTTGCTCTTTGAGAGAAAAGATTTGGATTTGGCATGGGGTTGCTTTGCTACTGAGACGCGTAGTTGGGTATGGGTCCAGAGCCCCACTGCAATGCCCTGTGACCCGCACCCTGCTGCTGCTGCTGTTGCTGCTGCTGTTGCTGCTGCTGCTGATCCCCTTGCATCTGCTGTTGCTGTGGCTCTTGATGCTGCTGCTGCAATTGTTGCTGGGGTTGCTGCTGCTGCTGTTGCTGGTCCTGCTGCTGGGCCAGCTGCTGCTGCTCCTGCGCCTGCTGTAGGAACGCCAGGGGCTGCTGTGGGGTGCCAGGCGCGGGGTGGAATTGCTCCTGCTGCTGCAGCAGCTGCAGCAACTTCCTCTGAGTCGTGGGGGGCTGCACGTGCCGCCGCCGCCGCTTGCGCCTCTGCTGCTCGGGTTGCACCATGGGGGGAATGAGCGCCGAGTACGAGTACGGGTAACCAGCACCAACACTCCCACCCGAGAATGCCTCGCCCTCCCCACCCTGCCCCGCCTGTTCCCGCTGCACTGCCACGTGTCCGCCATCCATTTGCTGGCCATCCTGCCCCTGCCCCAGCCCCTGTCCCTGCCCTTGCTCCTCGCCCTGTCCCTGTCCCTGCTGCTGCTGTCCCCCCTGCCCCTGCTGCCCCTGCTGCTGCTGCTGCACCAGGGCCAGCATCTGGCGGCGGTGTTTGACGCGGCGCTCGAGCAGCCGGTCGACCTCCTCGGCGGAGCAGCACAGGAAGTGGTCGATCACGTCGCTGATGCTCACGCGGTTCGCGGGCCGGCACAGCTGCAGGCCCTCGCGCAGCGCGTGCAGCGCCTCGAACACCGTCGGATGCACGCGAATCACCGGCGCGCGCTGCGTGTCCGGCCGCGGCGCGAGATCCGATCGGATGAAGTTGACGTACGACGGCATGTTCACGAGCCGCGTTGGCGCGGTCGACGCGTGCGCGTGGGGAGGGAAGGAGCCATTAGCGGCGAATTCCGCATACGGGTGCTCCAATGAGGGTTGCGACATGGAAGGATGCTCGCCGCTCGCGTCGTTTCCCGCTCCATCTGCTTCCGCATCTCCCGTTGTGAAAATCGCAAGCTCTGCGCCACCCTCGCCCGCTCGCGCTCCGGCTTCACCGAACGAGGGAACTGTTAATGCGGGAGTATCTGGTGCAGACGTGACTTCTAACGTTGCAGCATTCGTCGCGAGGGCTACAGCTTCGAAGGGTGGAGCTGCTGTTACTGCTGGTGCGCCTGTGACGGTAAGCGGGTCTTGCGTTGACAGTGCGTGCTGTGCTGCCATGGTGAACGAAAGAAAGAAATTATGCTGTCCTCAAGTTTCTAGGCCACAAGAACCAGACGACCACGAAGAAAGAGTGCGTGAACGTCTCGGTGACAAATACAGCTGCGAGCTTGATGCAAAACGGCGCGTCAAAATGCCAGTCTATGAAATTTGAGCGGAAATTGTTCGGAAAGGCGGCGCGATGACATGGGACAAGATAAGCAGCTTGGCTTGGAGAGGTGGGCGAGGGTTTGTAACACAAGCACGCATAACAGGAGAAAGTGTTATGCGCACACGAGGCAGGGGAAGGGCGATAAGAGGGTTACAACCCCAACCCCGCTCACAGTTTGATGAGGTGGGCACCTGCTGCTCCTGTGTGAGAAATCAGGGGAGACTGCGGAAATCGCAGGGCAGGTGGGGTGTATGTAACAGCAACGGAGCAGATAGGTGGAGGTGTGTGTGGCGAGAGATTGGCGGAAAGTAACCGATTGGGGTTACATGGTGGTGATGCTATTGATGGACACGTGTCAGAGAGAGGTTCAGGTGGTTTGTGCGTTTGTAAGGGGGTTGTGACTGTACAGGCTAGAAAGAATGAAAATTAATTATAAATGACCACATGGAAGAAATGCGCCGTATTTGTACTGGAAGACACAGGGGTGAGGCCCGGATGCTTTTGCGAAAGGATAATGCTGACGCAAAAGGATCTTGTCCCCCTCTCGCTCGGCCGCCTTTGCCTTCCCCAGGCTGGTCGTGGAAAAGTCGTTTGACAACATTTGCCCAATCACAGCGAAGCGCTTTCAACCGCGTGCGACGAGAATTGTTTCGCACGCACTCGCAAACGTGTACAGCAATTTGCCCCCTCCTCTCTGCTCCGCATGCCAGCTGCTAATCTCTCTCTGGTTCCCCACCCGAGCCCCCTGCGCCCACAGCCATCATCGAGGGCGGTAGACCAAGAGGCGGACGAAGAGGCCCAGCCCCACATCGCGTCGCAAGACCACGCCCACCTACGCACAGGGAGGAAGAGAATTGGGTGGAGCTGGTCTCCGCCTCTCCCTCCAACACACTCACATGGTCACAGCTCGCTGCATGCACACCAACTTGATGCTACATCCACATCGACTCATGCGCGACTGACGTGAGCAGCCTTCACCGTGATGCCCCTCCGCACCTAGCTGGTCGCTAATCATATACGGTAATCCACCAACAAAAGAGATAGGCTGGCCTTTTGCTGGACGGAATCACTACGGAGGCTCTGTCGAAGGTCGGCGTTGCTGCCTCCTCGCTCGCTCCTCGCTGCTCGCTCTCCGTGGGCGCTACTAGGCCACCCTTCGGGCTGCGCACTCACCTGCGTCGCTCCCTCCCACCACGAGCTCTCGTCGCGAGCCCCGCGTCTGCGTGCAAGAATGGCGTCAACTGCGGTGCCGTCGTTCGTCTGTACTTGCAGAGCTGCCGGCGCGTTGAGAGCAGACGCGTTAAAGGAAGGCGCGGCTGCGTCGCACTCCTGGGCTTGCCAGGCCGGCTCGCCTGCCAGGAACTACGCGGCCGTGCGAAGCTTCGTTCTCGCCAAGATATTTCCGTCTCCCTACACCCGTCCGCAAGGTCCACGCGCTCCCTGCTCTCACTTTGTAACGCGAGACTGTCGATTCGCTGTCGCGTATCTTAGAACTCATACGCGCATGCATATTCGAGTTTTTTTCTCGTTAATTTTCCTGTCAATGTTTCCTTGCAACGTCGGCGAGTAGTGGATATCCCGCTTCTTGCGAATTGCAGATTTTCCTTTCTTTTCTCTCGGTCCTGCCTGCCATTCCGCCTCCTTCCGCGCAGCCCATTCATTCCGCCCCGTCACGCCCGCTTCCGCTTCCGCCAGCCTCACCGGCGGCGATAGAGATCCCTCCGCGGACGACGTTCAAGTGCCCATCTCCCAGGACCCCAAAAAATCCGCCTCCATCCCCGTTACAAGCCCATCCTCCATCTCCTCATTCCGCTCACTCTTCAATCTCGAAAATAACTACGCGTTCTACGGTTCTTACCACGACGACCCGGTAAACAAGGCCATACACATGGTCTTCGTGTGGCCCATCCTCTTCTCCGCGCTCGTCCTCCTCCAATACACGCCGCCTTTGATCTCCCTCAGCCACCCAGTCCTCGCCGCCTTAGCTAAGCTCGTTCCGCAGGTGCCCGTTCCGCTTCCCCTCGCGCTTCCGGGCAGCGGGCTGGTGTTTAACTGCGCGGCGCTGGCGTCCGTGGTGTACGCGGCGTTTTACATCGCCATGGAGCGGCGCGCGGGGTCGCTCGCGGCGCTGATGGTGGGAGGGTGTTTCGTGGGGTCGCGCGCCTTCATCAGAGCCGTTGGCGCCGGGCGCGCGTGGAAGGTGCGCGCGGGGGGGTTTTTTTGGGGGGGAGGGGGGGAAGGGGGGGGGGGGGTGGAAGGGTTGTGACGGGGGAGTTCTGTGGGAAGAGGAGTTGAGGAGGACGAGGCTCAAATTAAGGGGGAACTTATCAAGGTTTGTGAGGAACTTGACGGGGACGGGTTAGGGACTGCAGGACTGATAGAATGCAAAAGTGGGGGGCTGGAAAGCTTGGAACTTCACTCACCGAACCTGAGACATAATGAGGAGGTGAATGTGATGATGTAGAGATCACTCAATTGGATAGGAGCAAGTCTCCAACGTCTCCTTAACCATGCCGGAATCCAGCCTCACAGATGCCTTCCCATACTTCTCCTTCCCATGCTTAATGTGTGAACGATCTACCGTATGCACAGCATTTCATTCGGCATGGCTGCCTTCGCCTCACCTTCCTGCTCTCCTACATACGGTCCCATGAAGTGGAGTCTGCCACTTCCCCGCTCACCCACTCCATCACCTCCCCTTTCTTCTCTCTCCCCGTTCTATTACCCTGCCTCTCTCCCCTGTCCTCTCTCCCCTGCCAATCTCCCCTGGCTCCCTCCCCGTCCCTCCACCCACCTCCCTCTCCTTCCCCTCGCCTCTGGCCCTTTGCCTCGCCTCGCCCCGCCGCCATCAGCTGGCGGTCATCGCCCAGGTGGTGTCGTGGGGCGTGCAGTTTGTGGGCCATGGCGTCTTCGAGGTCAGCGCCCTCTGCATGCCCGTGCACCTGTCTCATCATTGCGTAGCATGTTCGCTGGGTCTGTTTGTGCATGCCCCCCTCCATACCATTTCCTGGTCTTGGTCGTGCTTGCAACAATCCATGCTCTGTATCACATGTAGCAACATGCGTGCAGCCTCTTTTGTGAAGCTTGAATTTGATAGCCCTCGTCTCCCACCTGTCCGTTCCCTCTGCGTTATCAGAGGAGAGCGCCTGCACTAGTGGACAATCTGGCACAGGCATTGCTCATGGCGCCACTCTTCGTACTCCTTGAGGTCAGCATCTCCTGCATTGATTGTCAGTGTCTGGGTCGTCCTTCTGTTTTGATATTTAATTACCTTCTTTGTGTGTGTCTAACTGGCAGACTCTGGAACGGTTCGGGTTTGAGCCGTACCCTGGATTCCGCCAGCGCGTAAGGGCCATGGTAGCTTACCAAATTGCGGAGCATCAACGGGTCAAATTACAGAAGTGACATTCTTCCTGTGAAGATGTGGAAGTTTTGATAGGTCCTTTTTTGTTAGTGTATAGTATGCAGTAGCATGTTTTTGTGCTTGTTTTATGGTAGGTGCTCATTTCTTTACCACCCCAATTGAGAAAGCTTGCTTTCTTTCTTATCAATTGGCATCGTTCTCATTACAAATGGCGTATTACAACATTTGTATCATCATTCGACACAAGCTAGTGCGGACTAATAACGCTAGCTAGGATATACCCTATCCAAGTGGCATTAGCAAGGCGGTTGACTCTGGGGTGGGTGGTGGGAATGTTGAGTGAGCCGTTTGAAAATTGAGAAACGTGGGTGGAGGGAAATGAGCTCCAACCCACGGTTTTTGTAGTTGGAGAAGGGCGTTTAGCGCGCTTCGACGATGCCAATTGTGCAGTACAAGCAGCTTCGCTTTCACAATACACAATTTTAAAAAACACTACATGTGTGTTTAAAAATTATAATATTGCATAGCTGCATCCTATTGAATAAATGAGCACATCTCGTGCTTCAAAGCCTGTATCATAAGTTGTCGGAGACGAATCCAAAAAAATAAGGTACATCCACTTTGTGACTGGACTGGGTGAGCTTGGTGAAGTGGTGTATGTCCTTCCTGAAGTATCTATTTGTATATGGAGGTGATGTGCTGTGCTTTGCTTATGAATTGAGGGTTTTTTTTTTTTAAGCAAAGTAAATTCGTGTTTTTGCAATGCTTTGTACAAACAAATTCCAGGTTGCAGTTGGATTGGAGCTGGCGTTGATATTCACGGGCACGTGGCGCTGATGCGAGACTCGGAGAGCCTCGTGTGACTTGTGACGGAGTTGGTGGCAGCTGGAATTTCGCTCTTCTCAAGGCTGGCTGTGCGGCTCGGGTCGCTGCTTTTCCACCTGGCGCGTCAGGCATCACCAGGCCAACCTCGCATTCGCGCCCACTGCGATGTGTCGCCCACACCAAAGCATCGCCCAACGAACGTCGCACCCGTCAATATCGTCGCATGGTCTGCCCAACCTCCCTCCTAGACAACTCCATTCTTTCAGATTCAAAATTCTAGGGAAACTATATCCTAGATCCTTACTTTCAGATTTCTCTCATATTTACCCCCAGGTTTACTCGAAAGGTCCCACTTTCTGGGATTTGGCTCACGCGAGGCCCAAATTATGTTCAAAACTGGTCCTGTAGGGCTCAAATATTGACACGTGTCTATTTCACACCAACAATAATACCCCTGGGGAAACCAGGACACTTGTTCGGGAGGGATCAACCCTAAACACGGGAACCCGCCCGGTGTTTAGGGTTGATCCCTCCCGAAATGTATCCCGCGGGCAAAAATTAAACCCCTTGGCTTACGGCATGCCATTCGGGAGCATCAACCCTAAAATTTTAGGGTTGAGGCTCCCTCGGATGGCATCCCATCCGAGAGGGTTTTAGTTTTTTTTTTGCCCGCGATCAGCTTGCTGACTCGATTGCACTGCCTGCTTACGCAGGCAGTGCAATATATTACCCAAATTGTGTCCCGTTTCCCCAGGGGTATTATGTTTGGTTTGCCCCGTATAAAAAACCTTGCACGAAATCGACACGTGTCGTAATTTCTGCCCCGCAGGACCAGTTTTGAACATACTTTGGGCCTCGCGTGAGCAGAATTCCGCAAAGCTGGACTTTTTGGGTAAACTCGGGATCAAAATTGAGATATTTTTGAAACTGTGGAGCTGCGATGTACTTTCCCAAAATTCTTGGTCGCCCAGTAGTGCTGCTATATTGCCTATTTTGTGCTTTGCTGAAACTGTATCTGCTTCTCAGGCTTAGCATTCGGTGATAGACAGGTTCTTTAGTCGTAGTTCCACTCAGCTTAGAACCATGGTGAAGATCTGCTGCATAGGCGCTGGCTACGTGGGTGGCCCCACAATGGCCATGATTGCATATAAATGTCCAGAGATTAAGGTCACCGTGGTGGACATAAGCAAGCCTAGAATCGCTGCGTGGAACAGGTATGTCGGGTTGTCATTCTTCCAGCGTTCCATTGCTAAAGCCAAAACGCGCGAATCAACATACCGTCCTTTTGTTTTCACAGTGATAATCTGCCTATTTTCGAGCCTGGACTCGACGACGTCGTGAAGGCTTGCCGCGATAAGAACCTGTTCTTCACGACTGACGTGGAAAAGAGCGTCGCTGAGGCCGACATTATTTTCGTATCTGTAAACACACCAACCAAGGTACATGAAAGAGTGCAGAATCGTAGAAACCCCTGAGGAATGAATGAAGTCGGGGTTCGTGACAGCCACTCGTTCCTTCTTGACATTTGCAGACCAGGGGGTTAGGAGCTGGTCGAGCAGCCGACCTGACATATTGGGAAAGCGCTGCGCGGATGATCGCTGACGTTTCTACCTCTGACAAGATTGTCGTTGAGAAATCCACTGTTCCCGTAAAGACTGCGGAAGCTATTGAGAAGATTCTTACACATAACACGAAAGGCATCAAGTTCCAGGTAACAAGTCATTTACAAGTTGAAGGCCCCATTTTCACGTCTGTTCCAGCCATCCACTAATTTGATCTGTATTGTCGCTAGATTCTGTCGAATCCCGAATTTCTAGCGGAAGGCACTGCCATAGCAGACCTCGACAAGCCCGATCGTGTTCTTATCGGTAAGATCCAGCGACTGTTATCATTCATCAACTTCTTGAAGTTCCTCTCTTCTTTTAGAAAGGCGACAATTTATTCTGCTGTGTACTGTTTCATTCATTCAGGTGGTCGCACTTCTGAGGAAGGCCAGGCTGCAGCAGCTGCTCTTGCTGCAGTCTATGCTCACTGGGTGCCTCGAGAAAACATCATTGTGACCAACCTCTGGTGAGAGACTTGATGGATTAACGCTAATAGAACCAGCCACTTAGTAACAGATTTGCCAGGGCGATTTTTCTTACATTCACGCTCTCACACATGCCCCCTCAGGTCCGCTGAGCTGACCAAGCTGGCAGCGAATGCGTTTCTTGCTCAGCGCATTTCATCAATCAACGCCATCTCTGCCCTGTGCGAGGCCACGGGGGCCAACGTCTCAGAAGTAGCATACGCCATTGGAAAAGATACCCGCATTGGCTCCAGATTTTTGCAAGCCTCAGTTGGTTTTGGTGGCTCCTGCTTCCAGAAGGTACCTTCATTTACCTCCAGCATCCCTCCCTTTCCAGCACCCACACACCTACCCTTGTCGCACTCACTATCACTCTCACACCCTCTCCCTTTCCTTTCCCTCCCCTTCCCTCTTTAAATGTATTGCACCTCTGTCGCAAGCTCCAGTCTTGAGCTCTGTACACACTCCTACACAACACAACACGTGCACACACACGCCAATCTCAACCGCATAATGACTGCTTCACTTCATCTCTTAGCACCATGACCTCATCATTTGCAATGCTCACAACCCGACAGGACATTCTGAATCTTGTCTACATCTGTGAGTGCAATGGATTGATGGAGGCTGCTCATTATTGGAAATCGGTGATTGATATCAACGAGTACCAAAAGTCAAGGTTCATCAGCAGAATCGTGTCATCCATGTTCAACACCGTCGTCAACAAGAAGATTGCCATTCTCGGGTTTGCCTTCAAGAAGGACACAGGAGACACCAGGGAGAGCCCTGCCATCGATGTATGCCATGGGCTTCTCAGGGATCAGGCTGACGTCAGCATCTACGACCCACAAGTGAGCCAACTTTCTCATGCACGATCACATATACTCGATTTTGCCCATGAAGCTAGCGAGGAAGTCTAATGAGCCCTTGCTTACGTTTCCAGGTGACTGAGGAACAGATCAGGCGTGACCTGTCCATGAACAAGTTTGACTGGGACCATCCATACCACCTGCAGCCAGTCAGCCCAAGAGTCCACCAGAAGGTAGAACCATTGCACGATCTTTTAAATCTTATCTTCACTGTGCCTTTGAAAGCCCCCTCTCTCATTGTGAAACAACCAGTGTAAGGAGGCCTTCAGGAGCACATGAAATGTGATATCATCATGCTCTCTTCTTGGCACCCTCACGCTGTTTCTCTGACCATGTTTGTGAAGATAACATTTTGCTTTCACACCTCCACCCAATATCCACTGCTCCCTTCATCCCAGGTTTCGGTGTCGTGGGATGCATATGGAGCGTGCAAGGGTGCTCATGGAATCTGCATTCTCACAGAGTGGGACGAGTTCAAGACTCTGGACTATCAGGTGGGTTGCTATCAATTAATCTGGCATAAGAACACGCAACTGCACTTCTATTCATGCTGACGCGCACATCCAACCTGATGTCCAAGTTCCGTTCCAAGTTGTGTGTTCATGGCACTTACATTGGTGCTATCCCTTCCAAGCCTGCTTCATTCTCCGCAGTGGGTTGAATTCCTAAGAAATTGTCTCACACCACATCCTTGTCCATTCCAATTCCTTGCATGGCCAACAGAAAATCTACGAGCACATGGAGAAGCCAGCCTTTGTGTTTGATGGCCGCAACATTGTGGATGTGGCAAAGCTGAGGGAGATTGGCTTCATCGTGTTTGCTATTGGACACGCACTAGACCCCTGGGTGAAGGATCTTCCTTCCATGCACTAGGCCGTGTGTAAGGATATTGACCAGCAGCAAAGGAGTCACCCAGCCCAGGTGCCTGGGTGGTTAGGACATACCGGTGTGAACACTAGGTAGGACATGGGATTTATATAGCCTTACATGTTGACAGACGCTTACAGAAACTGCTGTATTTGGCAAGCAGCCAGCTACCACGCACAGCTGAGTCCACGTAGCTACGCATCTCTCAGAACACAGAATCTCGGGAAACTTGAAGAGAACTGTAACATAACATATGAAGGAAACTGCCCAAACTTCCCACCGGCAAATTCTCCTCGAATCAGCATTAGCCCACAACCTCCACTCACGCGTGTCCACATCACCATTCCATGCTTGTTTCATCCAAGGGCGAATACACCCGTAAGAACTTTCTCAGAAGCAGCGCCACGATAGCAACCACTATTGCAGCTGCCAGAGTGTTCAACACTCTGTCCTCCCCTGCTGCCCCTCCAACTCGTCCCCGACCCTCTGCTGCCCGTGTTGCCTGCGCCTGATTCTGTGATTGCCCTGCCACTACTCTTGCTGTTCCTGCTCTAGCTTCCACGGCCGAAGGGCCTACTGCTGCTGCTGCACTTGGTTGCCTGGGCTCTGACATAGATTGTGGTGGTGGTGGTAGCAGTGGCTCAGTCAGTGAGTGTTCAGCAGCAGCAGCAGATGCACCTGCTACTGGTGCACCATCCATGACTGCACCTGCTGGCACTGCTTGTACTGCAGCAGCAGCAGCTGATGCAGCTGATTCCATACCACCAGCCGGGACGGATCCGGCTTGTGCCTGCAGGAGTGAAGCTGAAGAGCTGGCCCCTGCAGAATCAGTACTGGAAGATACAGCAAGGCCCGTCCCTGTCTCATTCAGGCCAGCCGAGCCAGAGGAAGAGGGAGCCGAACCTGCAGCCACAGGTGCGGAGGATGTGGTCGAAGCGTCGCCTGGCTGTGCTGCTGGCAGAGGGGCTACGGAGCCTAGAGAAGGCTGGTCGGCAGAAACGTCGGTGGAAGAGGGAAGCACGAGGGGGGAAGCTGGAGAAGGAGCCGAGTCAGCAGCAGCAGTGGCACTCACTGGTTCGGCAGCAGGAGGAAGAGCAGATTCAGTAGGTGGGCCTTGAGGCGCCTCTGGAGCCTTAGGGCTCGGAGAGGAGGCGGGCAGCAGAGTAGCAGGGATAGGTGGCGCCGTTTGCAGCATGGCTGCGTGAATCTGATCAATCACTTGTTGCCGCCCGGGACTGCCAAATTTGGGCGGCGCGAGTCGGGATTTGATTGCGAGCTTGCGGCGCTCGTCCTTGGGGTAATCCAGCGAGCCCAGCGCGCCATCTGGCTTGGTTGGCATGAATGCTATCAGCGCCACCAGCGCCGTGCGCACTGCAGGGAGGGTTAACAGGTGATTGAATACAAAATGGTTGATGAATACAGCAACGAGAGGAAGGCGGGAGACGATGAGTATATCCATACGCCTGTACGCGTGCATGCACAAACGTGAGACAACACGATTTTTGTAGATTGAGTGGGAACGCAAGTGCAATGGGCGTGGTCCAGCTCACCACTCCAGGAGGGCTGCCAGTGCTCGGGGTGGTGGTTGGAGATGCTCAGACAAATCTTCGTCTGCACCTCAAAACGGCCGCTGGGCTGCCATGGCCGACACACAGAGAGGGCGGAGAAGGCAGAGAGAGCAGAGCAGAGAGAGCAGAGCAGAGAGGGCAGAGGGTGCAGAGGGTGCAGAAAGAGCTGAGGAATCAAGGAGCGCCTATCATTCTACTGAATGTCTATCAAATCTGACTAGCAAAGCTTGGGGAATCGCTTATCGGAAAGTGACTCAACCTTTGAGGTGCCCCAAACGAACATTCAGCGAGTTTTGAGGGGTGCGACCCAGAGAGCGGTGCACTCACGGTGAGGAGCATGAAGGAGGGCGGCTTGAAGGGGTAGTCGGCGGGCAGTGTGATGCGGCCGTGGTAGATGCCGCCCTCGAACTCCGAGTCCTTGGGACCGTGAATCGCGAACTGCCACTCGAATATGTCCTCCTGCCGGGGAACACACGCAGTCAATGCGATGCGAAGCGAGGGACACTCGAATCTGCGACCGCCGTCCTGCTGTGCCGTGCAATGCACGACACGTGGTGTACTCGCACGTACGGCTCTTACGTAGGAGGATACGGGTAACGACACGGCGATTTGGTTTGGTCCCTCTGCGCTGTTCGGTGAGATCGCCACTACCAGCGGGATTAGGAGAGTTTTGGAATGCACGGTGACTCCCGTAGCGTCACTCGCTTGATACTGCACGCCCTCGTTTCTCGATTAAACGACTCGCCTGCACGCACGCGTGTACCGCAGGCTCACCTCGAGCGGCATGCTGACATACTCCTTGCTGCCCTCGCGCTGCATCTCCTTCACCTCCTGCAGAATCCGCTTCACCGCCGGATTCCGCATGTTGAACTGCTTACCCTCCGCCATCTCCGCGCGCACGGCTCACGAGCTAGTCAACAGAGGAGACGTTTAAGTAGCGCGCTGCTTGATGATCCCACTCAAATTAGGTCTAACAAATAATTCAACAGACGGAAACGAATGCGTGGGACGCGCGTACTTTCTATGGCTGCGCAAATCAGAGGTGCTCGGTTGAAGGAATTGCTGGAATGATTGAAATGTTGCTCATCGGCAACTTCTAGAACGGTGCCTGAGTTGCTGTGGCGACCGAAACCGTTCGGCTTTCATCTTCAGAAACATGGTCGCTACAGAATTGTCCATGTATTTTTCCAACTATATCCACTTTTTGATAATAATTGCTAATACTCGTTAATGATAGTGAAGCCGCACCTTGTACAAAGAGATCCGATTTAGATGTAAAACACCATCTTATTTTTTTCGCCTATAACAGCAAACACATGGTAATGCCAATAACATGAGTATCTCTGTTGTACCATTGGATCACAAGCAAACAAGCTACTCAGCAGCAATTTCAGGCCTTGATTCCGGGCGGGCGACGCGCTCTATATTCTAGTGCGGCGTCGTGTGAACTATTTCAATTGCAACAGTGGTGTGGCCCACAAAAGTGTCGCTGCTGCAGCTTTTGTCACCAGCTTGAGCGAATGCGGTCTGGCGGGTCCTTTTGTTCGCCAAGAATTTCGCAGCTTCACCAGCTTCCGAGATTTCATTCACTTGGAGCCTGATTCGCTGGATGCCGTCGTGCAGTCTCCGCCAATCAGGCATTCTCCGCATCGCCAAGCGATCCAAACTCGTTTCGGCGGTCGCAACGAAATTCGTCGTCCATCTACTGTACCGCCGAATTTTCCCTTCAACCCCATCAAAGCTGGTCCAATCGAAAACTCCTCTGGCGACCGCCCAGTTTTGTGAATTTGGACTGGTTCGTGTTTCTGAATTTCGCAACTCCATCAGCTCCGCTCCGCAGGCGACCAAATTTGTGACCCACGATTCACGATTCACAATTCACGAAAATGACGAACTTGAGTGGCGAAACGTCACCCCGCCAACCTCACTTCAATTTCACTTACCTCTGCTTGCTTCAACTAGCGCAACAAAGCCACCTCCATTCCACATATGGCTTGTCATGTCTCTTCCTGCTTCCAGCAACCCACGTTTTGTCTGTCGAATCGTCCTTTTTCGCTGTCCTGCCTTGGCCTAGAGAGTCATCCTTCTTTTTCAGGCATTACTGTGGCTGGCCTTCACAGTCGACGGATCCAGTCGACATGCAAAATTCATCAACTTGATGAAAGCCATGTGTCTTTCCATTATCGATGGGGAGATGTGTTCAATTACAGTATACTTCGAACGCGGATCGACGGTTATGTGAGATAGAAAGCACTTATTTGCTCGGATCTACGACTATTAAGCATGCTTCCGATTAGACCGCCAGGATCTTCAATTCCGCCGCAGCAAATTTCCCAAGGGGATCACCCGCTCCCGGACTCTTCCGCAGGCGCTGCGGCTGTCTCAATTCCCACCATGCAGGCCCCGCAGACTGTCTCCGCCCAGCAAAGCTCCCCGCAGCCTGAGCCTCCGCCGGTCCCTCCGCAGCAGGAGAGCGGAAGCCCCCCCGAAGGCAGTCACGCGCCCGCCGTTCCGCGCCCCACGCGGGGAATCTCCCCGCTCCAGCAGGCGCTGGGGCGGCGCCCGCGCGTGCTGCTGGCGGCGAGCGGGAGCGTGGCGGCGATCAAGTTCCACATCGTGGCGCGCGGGCTGGTGGAGTGGGCGGAGGTGCGCGCCGTGAGCACGCGGTCCGCGCTGCACTTCATCGACCGGCCCGCGCTGCCCGTGGAGATGCCGCTTTTCACGGACGAGGACGAGTGGCGGCAGTGGAGCCGCCTGGGCGACTCGGTGCTGCACATCGAGCTGCGCAAGTGGGCTGACGTCATGGTCATCGCGCCGCTCTCCGCCAACACTCTCGCCAAGGTGATCCGCCGTGCTTTCCGGCGCCCGACCGAGCAATCCTGCCGTCGCGAATTGATTCCTTGCAACATGCGATGAGCGATCCAAGCTCGCGGATCGTCGCATGTTCCAAAGCAGCTTGCATCTTCGATCCAAGCCTGCCGTTTCCCCAACATTCCGCCCGCGATTCCTCCCCCTCCCGTCGAACTCCCCGTCCCTCATCTCGCACACCTTCCGATTCCCCTTTTTCCCCGCCTGATTCTCTTCCCATTGGCCCCCTTCACCACTCCAATCCCTTTTCTCTCCTCCATTCCCTCCCCCATCTCCTCGTCGCCGTCACGGCGTCAGGTGGCGAGCGGGATCTGCGACAACCTGCTGACGTCCATCGTGCGCGCGTGGGACTTCGGCAAGCCGCTGCTGCTCGCGCCCGCCATGAACACGCACATGTGGACGTCGCCATTCACCGCGCGCCACGTGGCGATCTTAGAGGGGCTGGGCGCGGAGCTGGTGTCGCCAATAAGCAAGCGCCTGGCGTGCGGGGACGTGGGCACGGGCGCAATGGCGGAGCCCGCCAGCATTGAGGCGGCCGTCCGCCAGGCCATCGCCGCCATCCGCGCGGAGAAGCGCCAGGCGCTGGAGGCAGGGCCCTCCAAACCCTAACGGCCGCGTGAAGCAGGTAGTGAGTGCGTTTCGGGATTCTGTTCCCTCGGCGCCTTTGATGGGCCGTAGCCTACCAGGAGATGGCGTGGTGGTTCAGGCGGAGGTTCAGACGGATGGCAAGCAAGTATCTATTTCGCATGGAGTGGAGAGGTCAGAGGGCCGATCTGGAAGAGGCAAGCTGCGGGTGAGCGGCGTCATAGGCCAAGGGGTTCGCGCTTAGGGTTTCCAACACACGACTCAGGAGTGTGCCTGGTTGGGGCAAGGTCAGTAGCATGCTGTGCTGGTGGCAGCACCGCATTCAGAGCTGCTGATGCTGGGGCCCCTTCAGCATGATGGTTGTAAGGGAGCACTTTGGGCGATAGATTGGATACGTCTGTTGGGGCAAGAATAAGTAGCTGGGTGGCCTAAGCCCACCCCACCCGGCTGCACTGCACACCTATGGGATGTGCCATTGGGGTTGCCGAGGAGGATTACAAAGAAGACGGTATGTTTTGGCAGCAGTGGTGTGTGCTGCACCAATAATAGGGAGAGGAGAGGACGCAGCAGCGGTGGTGGGAGATCTCTGGGTATTTGGGATCCTCTCTGACCCGTTCAAGGGAGCCAGCCAGCCATTCGCGCATGGATTCTCTCCTCTCCGTTCCCTCATACTTCCTTCCCCTCCCTCATCTCCTCCCATGTTGGGGCATATACTAGTCTGAATGTGGCCTATATCATATATGGCATATAGCCTGCCACTAGCTTCGCATTACTAGCTGTTCTTTTTGCTCAGGTCAGGTTTGGTCGTTCCCAGATGGACTTTTGTGCATTTCTGGTTGCAGTTGCCCTTGGGCTTCTCTAGAACGTAGTTCCAGCCTTATGTAGGGTAATTGCAACCAGAGTTGTACCGTTCTGTTTGTTGCAACAACTTTTTTGGATTGAGATGTTTTTTTTGCAAATAAGCCATGAAGGTAGCTCCAAAGTAATTCAACACACCGTATTCTATTCCTCAGTGGAACAGAGATTCTGTGCTGGAGGTCGCTGGAAACAACTTCGCACCACACCTGCCTTTCAAACCCGAGGCATTCATATCGCGGACAATGTCAGTCCAATTCTCGCTTCGAGTCTTCAGATACCCGCCGCCATTCGAGTTTCCCAACGCAGTGGGGAGTTGCTTCGTCTCCTGCATTCCGCAGAGATCAACGTCGCGCGCGAACGTCCAAGCACGTTTTATTGCTAGTAACGCGGATCACTGCGTTCTCGGGAATCACGCGCGCTGCCAGGACTGGCTGGCTGCGACGGGCGGCGGCGGTCCACCAAGAAGCCGTCATGGCCTCGATACCCGCGATGCGATCGACACCCGCGATATCCGCGATGCCGTGGGTGGGCGTCACGGCCTGTTTGAGTCATCGCGTTCCACATTGCCCTTATCAGCCCCACTGGCACCACCAGCTTCTCCAGATCTTAGCATCTACCAGCTGAATCCCTCCGAGCCTCCGATCCGCTGCTTCAAACTCAGATCTACCTCCGTCGCGGCTAGCCCCACCGCCTGGAGCGCCCCTTTGCTCCCCCGACTCTTCCGCCGACATGAGCAGGCCTCCGCGGAGCATTGCGCGCGCACTCACACACTCCCCGCCATGCGACTCGCGTGGGTGTTAGCGACAGAGGCGGCGGCAGCGCTGCTCGTGGTGGCGTGCGAAATACCTCTCGTGCAGCGGCTACTAACGCGGATAGGGTGGCAGGAGTGGCAAGAGGCCGAGGAGGACAGCGGCGAGAACGGGTTTGGCGGGGATGGGAGTGCGAGCGGCGATGGAGGGATGGGCGATGGAGGAGCGCGTGGTGCGTACCCGTCTTTGAGTGACATGGTGATTCGCGATCCCGCTTTGCTGACTCGACACATGACGCGGCTGTACGGGATATGAGATGACACGCTCAGGTGAAACACGCCATATCCCCCAGTTTAGAGGGATACTATGCATGACGGCATGGTAACAGCACACACAGATGCCAGAACAGAACACTTACAGTAGACAGTTGCCATGGCTAGTGTCATGGCATGGACTGCCATGGCATGGCATGGCATGTGTCACAGCTACTTCACCTTGTTCAGTGGTTGTATTGTTGAACAGGATAGGAGCAATGAGTTAGAGACTCTTTGTCTTTACTGCCCATTTGGGTTCTAGTATATAGCACTTGTATTTTAGGATGATTCATCCTCAGTCCAAAGTTCCTTACCTAGTGCCATAAACACTTCCCATGCTAATCACGCCTACTCCTGCCTGCATCTCTTCTCTCCTCTGCCATCTGCATAGCAATGAAGTCCCCTCGCTCCCTCACCCGCCACGCACTGCCATTGAGCCCCACAGCAGCGAGCATGCCTGTCATCATGCGATGCCGTCTCACCATGAACTCCGGGAGCATGCTCTCATCCATCCCCCCCACCTCACCTCCCCCTGCCCCCGCCCCCGCCCCATCTCCCCCTGCCCCGCCTCCCCCTGTCACCTCCCGCCCTCCCTGGTTCCCCCCGCCCTTGTTCCCCCCGCCCTGGATCCCCCCTCCCTCGGATCCCTCGGTACCCACGTGTCCCCCCTGCCACGCGGCTCTCTCCCTGGCAGCGGCCTCCCGGGCCTGCTTGCGCAGCAGCGCCTGCCATACCATGTCCTCCGCCCCTCCCTCTGCTGCCGGACTGCCGAATATGAAATGCCGCTGCACCTGGTGTCACAAGGGCAAGGATAACAAGAGAGACGAGAGGGATGAGGAATGTGTGAGGATGGGAGCGAGGCCAAGTGGGAAAACGGGGTGTAGAGCAGAGCTGATGAGTAGCAGTGCTTGCAAGTGTCCTTTCCAGCTGTGTCCACAATCAAGTTTCTGAGTCACAAGTGCAGAACAAAAATATCATCTAGCCCGGTGAAATTGGTTGCTATGTGAAAAACAAACAGTAACCACGCAAAAACGAGATGGTTAAATGCAAGAACAGAAGGGTTACCTGCCGCAGCTCCTGCCACATGGCTCTCCACTTGCTCTCCTCCAATCGCAGCACGGACGCCAGGTAGCCGGAGCGCGTGGCGAGGTGCGAGGGCATGAAGAGGGCGAAGCGTGTGTAGTCGATGAGGTCTTCAAAGGGCAACAAGATGCTGTCGCTCACCACCACTGGTATGCACCCGCTCACCATGGCGTTGAAGAGACGCGATGATGATACAGTGTTGCCTGCATTGGTGCATGAGGGAGGGGATGAATAAGAGGTGAGGTCCTTGAAGGGCACCAGAATGCTGTCGCTCACCACCACTGGTATGCACCCGCTCACCATCGCGTTGAAGAGCCGAGAGGATGACACTGTATTGCCCGCAGTGGGGAAGAATTGGGGGTTGAATGTACTGAAAAAGGTTGAGGATCGGGCTGAAGGCCGAGTACTGTACTAGAGGGTGAATGCTTTAAAATAGGTGAGAAAAACACAAAGCAGACACACAGATGCACAGTGCAATAAGTACAAGCTGAATAGACAGCACCTTCAGGCACGAGGCAGAAGAGGCTGCGGCGCATGGCATGCTGCATGGCCTGCACGTCCTCCACGGTCACCTCGCTCTCATCCCTCCGCTCCACCGCCTCAAACACCACCCCTTGCCTCCACTGCGGCGCTGAAAACAGCTTTGCCAAGCTTCGACGCAGTTCCCTGCCCTGAAAGGGAGGGACACAGAAAACGAATGGAGAGAAGAAAACCGAGAGGATATGCAACATTGTGATACTGGCCAGTTAATGTTGGTGCCAGTACAAGCGTCATAAGTGAACATTGCTTACAGTAAGGAAACAGATACTGGTGAATGAATGATGCTGGCACTAGAAGACGGACCAGTGACCATTGCTGTTAGTAGGAGACTGATCAGTGAACATTGATGGTAGTAGGAGATTGATCAGTAAACATTGGTGGTAGAACGTGACTAATCAGTGGATATTGCTGGTAGTATGTGACTAGTCAGTGAACATTGCTTGCAGTAGGACACTAATCAGTGAACATTGATGGTGGTAGCAGACTGATCAATAAACACAGCTGTTAGTATGTGACTCATCAGTGAACATTGATGGTGGTAGCAGACTGATCAATAAACACAGCTGGTAGTATGTGACTAATCAGTGAACATTGGTGGCCTTGATGTGCTTTTCAGTCCCTGACTCACATTATTGAAGACCTCTGTAGATCCGCGGAAATAGAGCAAAGACGTGCGATCAGACCAGCGACCAGGGTCGTCCAGATAAGGCTCCACTATTGGCGCATACGGTATAATCACATCCTTCATGAAATTCACGTCCTGCATCCTCACAAACAAGCATGAATAGGCACATTTTCTTTCATACAAATGAATGCAACATCAAAGAACACACACATTTTAGTCAACTGCTGCGAATGAAAACAATAAAAGAAAACGACAGGAGCAGTGGAAAAAAATTGTGCCTACCTGAACCCCACAGAGCCAGTACCACACCTGACCTGTACCATACCTACACCTTGGGGAAGGCTAGGTGTAGATATGGTACAAGTTCATGTATGGTACTGGTCCTATGGGGTTCAGGTAGGCATCACTTTTTTTCCACTGCTCCTGTCGTTCTCTTTTATCATTTTCATTCGCGCCCGTTGACTAATCTGTTCATTGTTGCACTTTGCAGGATCTACTAATTTGTGCACGCTCTGAAGGGAGCTTCATGGCGTATAGCGTGGTTCATCATGAGGATGCGGAGCAAGAATTTAAAAAATACATGAATAGGGAAAATACATGAAAATGCGAAAATACATGAATAGGGATGTTTTTTTGCAAGTGAATGAGTGCAGCATCAAGTATGCACACACACATTTTAAGGCGGCAGTTGGCAGGCAGGCATACCTGCAGGGGCGAGAAGGAGAAGTCGGTGGTAAGAGTGCAGAGGGAGGGAAGGAGGGCGTGGAAGGCAGGCAGAGCACGTGGCATGCTCACTGGCAGCACCACTCGCGGCTGCACCCCTGCCCTCCCACCACCACTATTGCTGCTGCTGGCAGTCAGAACATGGAGCCATTTGGTGAGGCTATCGAGCAGATGACTGCAGGAAAGAAAACGGGAGAGTGGACAAAGAGAGGACGAGGGCTGCAACGAGCGTAAGAGAAGGAAGCAAAGTAAGCCGCATGGCATAAGCATTTTGAGCTCCATGAGATGTCCACATGGTTTTCAAATCACACTACACATCAGCAGCATCACATGGGCAGCCTCACATCAGCACACACCTGAATTCCTCGCTCAGATGCGGCTTCATGAATACTGGGGCTAACCCCTCTCCTGCTGCTGCTGCGCTAGGTGCTCCAGAGACCTCAGGTGTCCCGTCAGGTGGTTTCAGCGCAAGCAGCAGAGCAGCCGGGTTGGTGGGCGTGGCATTGAATGAGAAGGCGAGCAGCGAGGAGAAGACGGGCAGGAACACCACATCAGCGTCGCGGGCGTGCGACACGAGGTGCACGGAGGAGGGAGTACCGGAGAGCAGGGAGAGTGTGAGCCAGTACTCTGCACTGTGCTCCGCTGCAAATGGCACTGCTGGGAATGCCGGCACCAGTGCGTGTGACCGCCGCTTCGACCAATACCGCGCCTCCACGTCAGCTAAGGTGTCGGATGGGTTGGCGGGGGAGGAAGCTGAGTTGACCGCAGGGCGGGTGAGGTCCCACGCTGGCGGCATGCCGTGCTGAGTCAGCAGCTGCACGCGGTGGTCCCTCATCCACTCCCCCTGCAGGCACACGTGGCATGGAGTGACGTGGCAGGGAAAATCAATGCGGGATAGCGAGAGGGCGGAACGGGGTGTGGCGGAGGGGGAGGGAGAGGCGCAGGTATGAGGCGCGGGGAGGTGGAAGGGGGCAGGAAGAAGAACCCTCAAGGGGGGAAGGGGCGCGCGCGCACCTTGAGCAGGCGGAAGTTGAATTCCGCGGGCAGCGCCGCGAGGAACACCTTGAGGCGCGGGCGCTGGGGCTCTATGCGCGAGGGGCGCGCGGCGGGGAGGAGGTCGGCGCGCAGCACGGCGAGCAGCAGCAGCCCCGCCGCCAGCAGCGCCGCCGCCGCCGCGACGAGCGCGTTCGGCGGGTGCGCGCCGACGTGCTTCACCCCCGGACGCGACATTCCTGACGGCTCCCCGTTACAATCTCCCTTTCGCTCTCTTTCGCTCTCTCGCGCTCTCACAGCCAGAATTTTATATAGCCGCGCTCTCCCGCTCTATCGTTCCTGGTGAGACCGTGAAACCCTCACGACGCTTCGGCGAACGCAATGAGGGGAGGCGGACACCCGCCGCGGGCCCGCTCCATGCGTGTCGTCATGCGCCTCGCCGCGCGAAGCTCAGGTGCCGAGCCGACGAGCGCGCTGACTGACTGCTGACAGCATGATAGCGAATCGACAGTGCGGCAGCGTGGTGGCGAAATGATCGCGTGGTAACGACTATCGACTGTACTACTTCCCGCTACCCAGACATGGGGCGTGTGTAAGACAGGAAACTGTACGTACGGCGCCTGTTTATGCCTACTAAGATATGCTTGCACTACCCCCAAGGTTCACTCTGGCCTGCTTGTGATTCCAGTTCTCACTGTGGAATAATCTTTCCGTCCACTATACATTGGAGCTTCCATTCTTTTCGAGTATTTTGGCATGACAACAATGTTTTGATGACGGTAATAGACTCTTCAGAAATGCTTATTCTATGGGCTCAAGCCTTAACTATCAATGCTTATTCTATGTCAATTGCAGAAGTTGTCAATAAAGATAAACCCCAAAGGACTCTCCCACTCTCCACTATGAGTGAGAGGCAGGACAATGGGCATGATAAAACCCCCAGGTTAACAGAAGTCAAGGCCAGAATTTCAAGTAGCTCAACAGTACTTTAAATCCATTAAAAGCAACACTTGTGCAGTTAAAATCTTTCTGTACAGCAGGGTTAATTACGGTAGATTCGATTCAATACTTGTGCTGCAGCACAATAACCACACATGGTGTTGAGCACCCGTTAACAATTACTTTCTTCTTCCGACACTAAAAGAAAACCTGCAAACAAAAAGACAGAACACATGTTACTCAACTGCCGTAAATGGAAACATAAAAGAAACAACATAGCAATGGAAGACGCCTACCTGATGCAAAATAAATAAACGCCATGGTGCACCCATGAGATCCTCCAAAGCGTGCAGTGCAGAAATGAGCAGATCCTGCAAAGAGCAACAAAAAACAGGTTAGTCAACAGCCGTGAATGAAAACGTTAAAAGAAAATGACTTGTGAAAAGCAGTGGAATGTTACCTGGACCCCACAGAGCCAGTACCAAACACCTGACCTGTACCATACCAACACCTAGGGGAAGGCTCTGTGAGGTGTAAATGCTTGATACATTAGACCTTTGACCATGGAGCTGCTCCGCATCCTCATGATCAACCATGAACGCCATGGTGCACCCATGAGATCCTCCAAAGCGTACAGTGCAGAAATGAGCAGATCCTGCAAAGAGCAACAAAAAACAGGTTAGTCAACAGCCGTGAATGAAAACGTTAAAAGAAAATGACCTGTGAAAAGCAGTGAAATGTTACCTGGACCCCACAGAGCCAGTACCAAACACCTGACCTGTACCATACCAACACCTAGGGGAAGGCTCTGTGAGGTGTAAATGCTTGATACATTAGACCTTTGACCATGGAGCTGCTCCGCATCCTCATGATCAACCATGAACGCCAGGGTGCTCTCATGAGATCCTCCAAAGCGTGCAGTGCAGAAATTAGCAGATCCTGCAAAGAGCAACAAAAAGCAGGTTAGTCAACGACCGTGAATGAAATGACTTTAAAAAATAAAAAACAGCGTGAACATTATAACACGTGAAGAAAATATGACGTGGAGCATTACTTGAGAGTGCAGGTGAGGTTGCATGGCTATCGCGGCAAAAGCTTCCAAGCTTGAGAAAATTGATTTTTCTCCATGATCGATTTGGTGAAGTGATGCAGGACAGGCTGCCTGGAGGCGACGTGTGATGAGGAACCAAAAATTCCGAGGAGGCGGTTGGTAACAAGCTTGAAGTTGGAAATGAGCAGAATGTTCCAGGGTAGAGCTGCAGAATGCCGTGGATAGTTGGAATGGCTGTGGGTCGGTGAGATCCCAACGTTGTGATGTGATCTGAGGTGAAACAGTCTGTGGTTGGAGTCGTGCCTTGCTGGCATCTATGGTGGTCCCCAACATTCCACCCTGGATGAAGGAGGAACATACGAACTAGTCGTCAGCACGATAAAACGAGCTGTGATTGGACCACCTCAGACCGAGTATCCTGAGAGTGATGGTAACTTAATCCTAGTGACACCAAGTTGACCCACGTGTCATGTTTGAATGGTCAGAAAGCCACACGGTGGAGTCACCGACATTGACATGGATAGGGACTCCAATCATCTACGGTGGAAACTAACCAGGGCGGTTTGTCTCCCGAAGCGTGCCGCTGAAAGCCGCTCAATTGCTCGGGAAGAGGATGTACGAAGAATTGGAGGGAAAGCCTGACACAAGTAGAGAGGAGCAACGGACATGACCCCAGCCAGGAGACAAGCAGAACCTAGGGAATTGGTGAGAGCAACCAGAAGCTGAAACCCTCTCAGATCTAGGGAATTGGCGAGCAGATGAGCAACTCCCTGGGGCGAAGTGACACTGTTCGTCCAATCAAGTTTCGCGAATCCGCACGAACTAGCTCCTGCGGGTGTGGGGTGCGAGGGAGTCGAAAATTACCAAATTTAATGACGAAACGAGATTCTGTCGGTAATTCGCTTGAGCGGGGCCACTGTTGCGCTGCGGATGTCAGAATCGGATTTTCAGCGCGGTTGAACACGGTTCGATTTTCCAGTTCATTGCGCGGTGAAATTTTGGGTGGTTCCCTTGCTTCACACCTCACCACTCCTCCCCTGACCCTGATTCGCCTCAATCGCTCCCTAACGATTTCTCTCTTCGTCTCAGCCACTGCCGATACTATCCAGCTCCTGATGATGCCTCAATCGCGTATCGTTACCCCTAATCGCCCCTCCAGCCATACCAGAAGCACCATGCGCGGAGTTCGTGCTTTCACATGGTTCCCTTCCACGTGTGCCTCGCTCCCTCCTATACTCAACCGCCGAGCCGCCGAGCCGTCCACGGTATGCCATGTACGAGCTCGTCGCTGCGAGGTTATCTCTATTTGGAGTCTAGAAAAAAACCTTCAGCGAGCGGTCATGCACGGATGCACGATGCTGCTCCAACGCACTACCGCCATGTGCGAGAGTCGTACAGCGCCATGTCGCGTGGCCGCTGCGATCTGCCATGCATGCGACCAACGACGCCACGACGTCGCTCCTCCAGCCACCCTCCGCATTCCGCGGCCGCCTCTACATCGGCGGCGGCGACACGTCAGCGCCAACTCGGCGGTGTCGAGCGCTGTTCCTGCCGCCGCACTGCGCAGCATCCTAAACGACACCGCATGCACGCTAGCAGAATCTTCGACGCGGGATTTTTCGCCGCAAGAAACGGCCTGTTTGCCGGCCACTCTGGGCGCGTCGCACCGCTCCCACTCTTGGACGCCTGATGCCTCCTTTAGCCAGAATCCTAGGGTCGGAGAAATCGATTGGAGCAGCATTAGGAAGTAAAAGCGTGGCGCGCTCCCCATTCGGCGCGCCCCGTGCATGCGATCTCTCCGTACCAGGGCATTTTTGGGATTTCTCAGAAGTGACTCCCTCCGTACATCGCGCCTCCTCGCCCATTCCGTACCGCACGCAGAAGCACGGAAACAACAGCGCCAGGTGGGTGGGTATATGAGCTGCCCCAGCCGAGTCAGCTTCACGCCAGCCGCTTCACGTGGGCATTGACCCGCCTTCGCCAGCTGCGAGCCTCGCTGCCTTCCCCGCTTCCCGTTCCCTTCCTCTCCGTCTTTCGTCTCTGCCTCTGCCTTCCCGGAGTTTCTGCAGTTCCCGCTCTTCCACCTCAGTGCATTTCTAGCGTATTCGCCAGGACGCTACCAGCAACGCACAGCAGCGCCTGAGAATCTCTGCTCCTCTGCCCCTACCACAGCCGCTGTCCGCTCCTCCACCGCTCTATTTCCTTTCCTAGGCCGCGCCACGCTTGTCCGAGTCGTCCGCGACTCTCTCTCTCTCACTCTCCCTCCCTGTGTCTCTCGCTCCGCGCCATGGGGTCGGACGGGTGCTTCCAGGCACGGCTAGGCAGCGAGGAGGGGCTAGGCCTGGGGCCGCTCACTCCTGCTGCGGTGGGTGTGGCGGGCGATGGGGCTCCTGTGGGGGGTCTCAGCGGTTCCGCAGCGTCAGCTCTCAAGCCGTGCAGCAGCAACTCCGTGGGGGATGTGAGGGCGGGGTTAGGTAGGATGGGGTTGGGCGAGAGGGAGAAGGAGGAGGGTGGTGCGAGGAGTGGTGTAGAGGACGGGGGCTGGGCCAAGTGGCCTGTGAACGGCGCTGCAGGGGTGGAGAATGGAATTGCAGTGGTGAAGAACGGTTTCGTTCATCCCCTCGCGTGTACCGAACCCTCCAGTGCTGCAACTGGATGCTCTAATAACGAGCCTAAGGTGCAACCTGCAACTGTAGCTCCTGGGTCCCATTGCGATTCCGCCGTGCCGAGAATGAACCCGTTAAAGCCCGGGAAGCCGGTGGCGTGTGTGCTGGGCATCGGTACAGCGAATCCGGACACGATTCGGCCGCAGGGGCAGTTCGCCAAGGAGTACCTCTCTCGGGTGGGCTGCCACCATGCTGAGACCCAGGCCAAGTTCGAGCGCATCTGTGAGTCGCTCGGACCATGGGGAATGATGACAATTTGGAGTGAAATGGCGGGGTGGGTGGCTGGAGGAGTGGGTGGCTACAGGAGTTTCATGTCGCATAGCACGCTTCTCTCTCTCAGAGTGTCTCCGCCTCTCTGCCTTCTACCCTCCGCCCACTGCTTGCTGCTCTCTGCTCTCTCGACCCCCTCTCCTCCCATCCCCCCCCCCACCAGGCTTCCACACGGGCATAGACAAGCGTCACATGGTGCTACCCTGGGACACCATCGCCGCCAACCCGTGCCTCCAGAAATTTGGCGCCTCATCCCTCTCCATGCGCCAGGACATCCTCGTTCCCCTTCTTCCTCCCCTTTCCCCCCCAGGCTACCACACGGGCATAGACAAGCGTCACATGGTGCTGCCATGGGACACCATCGCGGCCAACCCGTGCCTGCAGCAGTTTGGCGCGCCCTCCCTCGCCATGCGCCAGGAGATCCTGCGCTCCGAAGGCGTCAAGCTCGCCGCTGCCGCCTGCGAACGCGCCCTCGCCGAGTGGGGCGGGGACAGAACAGGCGTGGGGGGAGCTGGGGCAGGCGTGGGGGGAACGTTGGAAGCAGGGGGGGTTGGGGGAGCCGCGGGGGAAGTCAGTGGGGCGGGCGGGGTGGGGGGCGGGGCAGGTGGGGAAGGGTTTGGGGCAGGGGGGGCGGGGGGGATAACGCACCTGGTGGTGGTGACGGTGAGCGGCGTGCACCTGCCGGGGCTGGACGTGCAGCTGGTGGAGGCGCTGGGGCTGCGCCGCTCCACCCAGCGCGTGCTGCTGCAGATGCTCGGCTGCTACGCGGGGGTCACTGCACTGCGCATCGCCAAGGACCTCGCGGAGAACAATGCGGAAGAGGGCGCGAGGGTGCTGCTCGTGTGCTCGGAGCTCAACAGCCTCATCTTCCAGGTACGGTGTCATGACTTGTGAGGTGCCTCACAAGTCAGATGCTCGGGTGCTATGCGGGGGTCACTGCGCCGTGCATCGCCAAGGACCTTGCGAAGAATAATGCGGACGAGGAGGCGAGGGTGCTGCTCGTGTGCTCCGAGCTTAACAGCCTCATCTTCCAGGTACGGTGTCATGACTTTTGAGGTGCCTCAAAAGTCAGATGCTCGGGTTCTATGCGGGGTTGACGGCGCTGCGCATTGCCGCTGAGAAGAATGCGGATGGGTGCTGCTTGTGTGATCAACAGTCTCATTTTTCAGGTTCGTACGGTATCGTCCTTCCAGATATGGTATGTTTTTCCAGATTCTATATGATCTTCCAAGTATGGTATCATTTTCCAGGTACAGTATCATCTCCCTTACCCTGTTTCTCGCACTCCTCACCTCCCTCCCCTCCCTTCCTTCTCCATCCTACCCCTTCTCCCCCCATTCCTCCCTTCCCCTGCCTCTCCTCCCTCCCCTCTCCTCCCTCCCCTCTCCTCCCCTCCCTGTCCGCCCATCCACCAGGCACCGCACGAGTCGCTGCCGGACAGTCTGGTATGCGCTGCCATCTTTGGTGACGGGGCAGCTGCCATGGTCGTGGGGGCCAACCCCCGCACCCACGCCTCCCACGCTGCACACACTGCACACACCGCACCCGCCCTGCAAGAAGCTACCACCTCTCCACAGCAGCAGCAGCAGCAGCAGCAGCAGCAGCAACAGCAAGGAGCAGGGGGCTCCTCCCCTAGCCCACCCGCCGGGCTTTCCCCCGAGAAGCCCATCTTTGAGATTGTCCGCGTGGCGGAGTTTTTTCTGCCCGAGACGACGCGCCACATTGCGGGTGATCTCACCGAAGCGGGGCTGCTCGTGCACCTGCGGAGGGAGGTGCCGCTGCTGCTGCCCGGGCCGGTGAAAGATTTCAGTGCTGCCCTGCTGGGGCAGGCCGGAGTGGGATTCGCTGAGAGCTTCTGGGCGGTTCATCCGGGCGGGCGTGCGATTTTGGATGCGATTCAGCGGCAACTGGGGTTGAAGAAGCATGCACTCAAGGCGAGCAGGTGGGTGTGGTGTGCTTTTGCTGCTCTGCGTGATTGCCATCCGTTTTTTGAGGGAAAGAGGTATCTGTTTTGTGCCTGTGTTTTCATGTTGTTGTGCAGGGAGGTGCTTCGGCAGTACGGCAACATGTCAAGTGGATCCGTGCTGTTTGTGCTGGATGAGATTCGAAGGAAGAAGCGTACCGAGCCTCAGTGGGGAGTGGCTTTAGGGTTTGGGCCTGGGGTCACGGTTGAAGGAGCATTGATGCGGTTGCTATGAAAGAAAAGGAGGCTGGAAATTGGTGGTAGAGGGTGGTTAGTACATAGCGTACCCTATCTTGGCTACTAAATATGTACATAATATACTATGGGTATGCATATAAACATTATAGATGAATATTTGTCCCGGTAGTGTGGGAGAGATATGGGAGGAGCGCCTTACAGATTTGAGATGCGGTGTGCCATCCAGCAGCCCTACCCTGCCTATACTGGTGGTTTACGACGTGTTGCGACCCACCCGGGTCGGGTCGGGTCGGGTCCCGACCCGACCCAACCCCAAGGCGACTCGAGAAATCAAAGAATTTCCCGTTGCCTTCTCTGCAAATTCGAAGTAAAGAGAAAGCAAGTGCTCCGCAGGTGGAAGGTGGGCGAGGCAATGTTTGGCGATATTACCGGGTATCTTTTTGGTAAACGAGATACATGCGACATCTGCGCGAGAACCACAGATTTCGCAGGCTCCGGTAACCTGCTCCAGCTCGGTTGGGTTGGGTTTGGTCGGCCTGGTCGACCCGACCTGGTCGACCCGGGTTGACCCGGGTCGACCCAACCCGGGTTGGGTTGGGTCGGGTCGACCTGGTCGGGTAGGTCGGCAGTGAGGGCTTCCTATAAATTCGGGATCGGGGGGTGATCAATCCGACCCGGGTGGATCGCAACACGTCGCTAGCTACTGGTAGGTGGACACGAGCCCTCTTCGCAGCTCCAACGTCGAAGTCAGGAGGACGATACTGTGAAAGCCTTGTCTTTTCATGGTGACGCATAGATGGCAGTAGCATCTCGTTCTGCGTGTGTTGCGGTTCGACACAGTTCCATAGAACTCTCAAGCTCTCGCTGGTTCGTTCAAAGCACTCAAGCTCATCCAATCAGACGTTCGGCAAGAACATGCGTCACTCGTCGTGCTGTAGCCGTCGCGGCTTCCTCCACGCCAGACAAACAGGTTGACACGTCAGCATTACCTACCCCGTCTCCGGCCGTCGCAGAGCCCGCCGGTTTGATAGATAATTCCGTCAGCTTAACCGCCAGCAGTCAAGCGGCTCCGACAATCACTGTCACCCTTGCTTCCTCTAACGACAACGTTAACGTCTCTCAGAAACCGTTTGACGTCTCTGTTGCTGCCGACGGAACTCCCGTCACTGCTCCGTCAGGTGACGCTTCAGTCTCGCTCATGTCGTCCTCCGCAACCCCGGCGTTCGCGGAAGCACCGTCGCCGTTCGAGCTGTCGAGCCTCGAGGCGGCTCTTGAACAGCACCCGGCCATTCTAATACTCGTCGCGACCGCGCTCGTGTTGGTCTATCTCGTCGCAGGAGGTGCGTGCTTTCCGCCAGTTGAGAATGCATCACGTCCGTCTCGTGCACTTTTATTGCGTTGAGTACCTTGCGAGCTCATTGCGTCGTCTGCTGCGTTTCTGCCATGTATGTCTGGTATTTTGTGCAGAGTTGGGCCGTTCTCGAGGGTGGTGAGGTCACGAGCACGCACTGGGAGGTAGGTGGATTAGATCTCCCTTTATTGAATGTAGATAAGACTGTACTTGTAGAGCTTTCTCAGTAATGTTGAGTACATTTTACAATTTGAAATCCTGGTGTTAGCCATATGAGTGACTTTGCCTATCACGGGCTGGGAACATAGTACCTTTAGAGCTGGTCTTCTTATTTGCAGCATTTTACACGAGTTTGCAAATCAATAAGCGGAATGAATTCAAAGAATGTCTGGTATACATAACTTATTTCTACCAACCTTGCCCTGTGCCTTAGGCTAGAGAGCAGGCCAGCTTATTACCAAAATATGGCCGGAATTGAATGATGACTTTCCCGTAATACGCTGGGTGATCCTGATTCTATAGTCAACTCCCGACTCCGCTACACTCTGACGGCCAGCCAGCCCTTCCACACCTCTCCCCTGCACGTCTCGCCAGCACGCCGGTTCCATCTTATCTGAATGCCATCGTGTGATATTCTATTCTGCTCACCCACACTCATGCCACCATGCCTCCAGTGAAGAGAAGCAGTGACTCTGCTGCCAGCGTATCCTCGTCCTCAGCCCCCTCCTCCCTCCCCTTCCCCTCCTCTCCCTCCCCCTGTTCACCCACATTCACACCAGCTCTCATCACCTCATCACCCTCCCCGCTCAGCCTCAACTCCCAAAGATACCCCATCACCGCCCCTTCACTATCCTCCACCCTCCTCCCCACCGCCATACCCACAGCCTCCCCCTCCCCTTTCTCCCCCCCTCGCCCCCCCTCCCTTCCCTGCCACCGCACCCGCACCCCTCCTTCAACCACAGCAGGGCACCCCCCTGCCGCTCCCTGTAATCGCAAGCTTATGCAGCTCATGCTGCTTGTATCGAGCGTGACAGTGGGGAGCGAGGCAGCACCAAGGGAGAGCAGCCAGGAGCAGCAGGGGAGCCCCACGAGGCGGTGAAAGGCGCCGTTCGCCCACAGCGCCGTCATGCTCTCTCCCACCTGCACTGCATGCCCACTGCGGGGACGTGATGGTAGGCTCGCAAACACCATTGGGACGGGTGATTGCTCCATGCTCTCTCTCAGCTGCTCTGATGATGCCGTCCCTGCTGCTGCGGACCCGACCGATCGGATGGCTCCACTTCCGTGCATGCCTCCCGTTGGTGATTGGCTGGTTTCGGTCGACGCACGCAGGCCGTTGATCGTGATGTGCGATCCGACGAGCCGCGACGCACGAGGCGCGATGACTCCAGAAGCGGGTGCGTGATTGGCAGCGAGCGACGCAGGGCGCGCGGTAACAGACGCGGGGGTTGCGGCGGACACGAGCGCGTGAGCGCCATCAGGTTCCGCTTCCTCCTCCGCATGCTCCCCAATCTCCCCCATCACGCCCCCATTCCCGCGCCCGTCGTCTCCCCCGCACTGCTCGCTCTCCGCCTCGTCCCCGTCGCCCTCCCCCCACTCGTCGTCGTCCTCGTCGCCCGTCTCGTCGCTCCACCCCTGCGACTCCGTGCGAGTGACCACCGTCGTCGACGCGGACGACGACACCGAGGCTGACTGCTCCGGCGCGAGGCTCGGCCCGACCAGCGCGTGAGGCTGGGCACGAGGAGGTTCGGAGAAGTCGCCCGAGCCAACCAGCACGTGCGCAGCGGCGCCAGCGGCCGGCACGGGAGGCGGCAGGGAGCGCCCGAGAGTCAGCTGAGTGTCTGGCAGCGCCTCTTGGCCGCGATTCCCGGCCACTTCCGCTGCCGCATCTCCCGCCGCGTTCCACGCCGCGTCCGGTGCCGCAAGAGCCGCCTCCGCATACATCGGCCGCGGGGCCTGCCACATGAAGCCCTGATTCCGCGCTGTCGGCGGAGGCAGGGAGAGGGAGAGCAGCGGTTGCTGCGGCGAAACGCCCATTCTTGGGGGAAGCCCCACTTGCTGCGGGAGAACCATGAGCTGCGCCGCGCTGTTGTTTCCGCCGTTTCCGCGCCATTGCCCCTGTTGCGCAACGCCCATCTGCGCCGCTGCTTCCGCTCCTCCACCCACACCTGCAGCGCCGCGCTCCTGCGAAACGAACCCGAAACCCGCAGCCGCTGCTTCTGCTGTAGCTGCGGCGGCGGCGGCGGCGGCGGCGGGATTGGCGCTGGTGGATCGGGCGGAGGCGGAGTGAAGGAGGAGGCGCGCGGCAGCGGTGACGGGGGGAGCAGGCGCGGGATGCAGTGTGTGAAGCGGTCGTTGCCCCGATGTGGTTACCACACACGCCCCCGTTCCGTCCGTTCCAACAGCGCCCGCGCTCGCACCTCCGCTAACCTTGACGGCACCGGAACTTTTGCCGTTAACCTGCCGTCTCCTGCCGGCCGCCGTTTGCTTGCTTGTGACGGACCGGTTGCGGCCCCACCGTGCGCCACTTCCGCTGCTGCTGCCACGTGGCAGGGCGACGGACGACATCGCGTCCTTCGCGCCGCTCTCCTCGGCGTCGCAACCGCCTCTGCTGCACGCGCTAGTGGCGGTGGGGGAGGTCAGATCCGACGGATCTGATAAGCTATCGAGACTCTCCTCGCACTCCACTAGCGGATCAAACGCCGCGCCGGCCGCACGCGCGCCGGCATCTGTGTCGCGGATCGGCGCTGGGGCGGCGGAAGTGCAGATGCGCGGAAGGACAATAGGGCAGGTCAAGAGGGTTGGAGGAGCGGCAGCAGGGGGAAAGCAAGCGGATGCGGGCGCGGGAGCAGTTGGGGAAGCGGAAGGCAGGGGGAAGAGCTCGGTTTTGCGGGCAGTGGATGGCGCAGCGGCATTTGCGGCGATGGCGGAGGCGATGGCGGCAGGCGACGGCACGAGAAGACGCGGCTTGACTGGCCCGCTCGCGCGGGGACCGCTGTTGGCGCCGAGATTCCCGGCGAGTCGCGACGGCAGCTGCATGAGGGGAACGGGTGATGCAGACTGTCCCATTGCACCCTGCGTCGCGGGACTACTGGGCGGCTTACTGGGCACTACGCGACGAGGAACGCCGTCCACGACAATATCGGGTGTGGCGTTGAGCAGCCGGCCGAGGGGCGTGCCCTGTAGAGCCTGCATCCCGCGCGCAAACGCAACCGGATCATAACGCGTACGCGGCGGGAGAACGGGTAGAGGAGTGGTAGGGTAGGAGATTGATAGAGTGACGGTGGCAGGGGTGGGCGGGTTGGGTGCCGCTTGGGGTTGCGGGGGAGGAGGCGCGGGCGCAAGGGAAGGTAGGCGGAGAGGCGCGGTGCTGAGCGCAGCTAGAGATGCGGAAGTGGATGGCGCGGCGGGGATGGTGAGGGGCGGAATCGATGCGGCGAAGAGTTTCCGCGGGCGCATGGCGGCGGCGTCATTTGCGCTCGGATCGTCTACCGCCGGCCGCTTCTCCCCCGTCACCTGCATCGCTATCGCATCGGGGCTGTTTGACCGGCACGCTGACTGCGCCGGCGGGGAAACTGACGGCTGCCGGCTGCTGCTGCTGGGGCTGAAGACTGCAAGAGCAGCCTCGACGCTGCGCGGATGCACCATCTGCATCTGAGCATCGGTGCATGCTGCTAGACATTGGT